TACTACTACTACTACTTTTACTACTTCTACTACTTCTACTACTTCTACTGGTTTTACTGCTTCTACTACTTCTGCGACTAGTACTACTTCTTCTTCGATCTCTATGTTTACTCCTACTTCTACCACTATTACTAATGCTATTGGTGCAATTACTACTACTCTTGCTATTGCTATTGTTGTGAAACTATGATATTGAGTATTATCGGTTCTTGGGAGAGCGCGTTGTTACCACGACAGCAAAAAAGAATCCACACCATAACCAGAAATATTAGCACCGCGACAGAAACACAACTTTACCACGACAGCACATGAAAACCTCACCAAAACAAGGCAGGAAAACCTCACCACGATAAGGGATGAAGATCTCAGCAAGACACAGCAGCAGCAGCAGCAGCAGCAGCAGCAGCAGCAGCAGCACATATCGGTCTTTCGGCGCGGATGCCTCTGAACTGGTCTTTTTGCCCCACACGCGGAAGAGGGGGGAGGGAATCACCATTGTACGATTTTCACAGCCTACATCCTTCAGGGCCCCGTCCCTCTCTTAGAGGATGTAGGCCCTGAAACGGCAAAACAGTCATTCCCGCCCGTGCCCCCCTCACTCCACCACCAATCGTGGGGCCCCCTCACTCCACCACCACCCGCCGGGGAATCACCATTTCTGGGGATTCAGGCTCTGAAAACGGCAAAATAGCCCCTCAGGAATCACCATTTTGGAGGATTTAGGCTCTCAAAATGGCAAAATGGTGATGGGGAATCACCATTTTGGAGGATTTCGCATGCCCCCTCTCCCCAAGCAAGCGGGGGAATCACCATTTTGATAGACTTGATTGTCAAAATTTGCCCAAATGGTGGCCGCCCTAAACCTTGTCAGTGTAAGAAAAAGGCTTGTCGTTGTGGATGGAAAGCTTGTCAGTCTGCACTTAAACCCTGTCGTGGTACGGACCTACTCTGGTTCTTGGTACCATTATTGTTGTTACGAGTCCGTTAAGAGTATTACTCAACTTATGATCCTTTCCTGGCCTCTTCTCTCCCGAGCTGCTTTCACTCTCCTCCGAGCACCTCAGGGCACAGGGAGATTTAGGGATTTGGGATTTGGAGCTTTTCCGGCTCAGCCCGGGCCGTGGCTCGCTGTCGGAAGCATCCTTCTTCGCCGGCTCCTTCTCCACGCGCCTGAAAGGCAGCACCCATGCAGCCGGGGCGGCTTTCTGAAGTCTTTCCCCCCTCCGCACCTGCGCTTCTGCGGCTCGGCGTCCTGTTGCCGGTCCTGTGATTGAGGAAGGCTTCTCTGCGACTGGGTGCCGGGCGGTGGACGGCGCCTCAGCCTCATCCCGACTGTCAGAACGAGCGGCGCGACGCACGCGGCGGCGACGGCCCCGTGGATCCTGCCGGTCCTGTCGCAAAGCTCTTGAAGCCTTCCAGCTGTTTTAGCATGCGCCATCCTTTTTAGGCGCCTCGACGCTGCGGGGTCGAGAGCCGCCACGACGCTCATCCTCCGGTCGACCTCTGGGACGCCGCCTCGGTGCTTGGCAAGTCCCTGCATCCCAACACGAAGCACCCTAACAGGATTGGCCTGTCTGGACGTTCGGCTCGTCGGGAGAAGCCATGCCGTCTTCTGCGCCTTCCTCCTGACATGCACCAAAATCACCAAACCCGCCTCAAGATGCAGCAAGGATCAAGCCTTCTCCCCGCCGCTCTTCCCACTCTCCGCGGTCCGAACGCCTTCGCTCGGCCAGGCGATAGCCACCTGCAGCGAGGTGAGACACCTCTGCCGAAGTTCTCCACCAAAGCCCGCCTCCTCCACGATCCCAGTCCCGATCTCGGGGCGCAGGGCCTCAGGGGCTCCCGGATGCTCTCAAGGATCGGATTGATGGGCTTTGGCCGAGCTGCCGCGATCCCCGCGACCCCCGCGGTCACCGCGTCGTTCGCGGCCTCCTCGGTCGCCTCCTGAAGCTTCGAGCGTTGAAGATATACAAAATTGGTTTAGGGCCTAGGGTACGCGCCTGGCCGATCTCCACGATCTCCGTAGCGCCGACCTCGACCTTAGCAAAGGAGCAAGCCTGGATCGCATATGCGTCCGGGGCTGTTGAGGAGACGACCCGACAGGCTTCTGCCGCCGCCTGGGCATTGTCAACACAAACTAATTATGACTGCAATTGTGATGAGAATGATAGCCATGATAAGAAGAATAATACCAATAATGAGAGTAAGATTAATACCAATAATAATACGTATGGTGATATTAAGAAAGTTAAAATAGTAACAGTAACAATAACAGCATCAACAACAACAGTACAAATAAGTAATGACAAGAATTGTAACAATATCAATAATAACAATAACGACAACAGAAATAATCGTAATAGTAATGATAATAATAATCATAAGCAGAATAAGAAGAAGAACTATAAAACAGGTAATTCTAACAACAGCAATAAGAAGAAGAAGGATGCTACTACTCCTACTAAAAATTACAACTAAAAGTTACTACTACTACTTCTGCCACTACTACTACTACTACTACTACTACTACTACTACTACTACCACTACCACTACTACTACTACTACTACTACTACTACTGCTACTGCTACTGCTACTATCACTACTACTACTGCTACTGCTAC